GGCCTTGGTATTATGTCCATGGTTGCTTCATTATGATGATAACCAGTATGGAACAGAATTTATTTGAACCGTTTTATTTCAGAACCTGAGCATGAGGCGGGAGAAGCTCAGCGGGTGGTGAAGATGGAAAAGAAGTCGTCGTCGTCCCACGCGCGCCCGTACGGCTGCGATGAAGGCAGCCAAAGTTTTCGATTTGTGGAAACCTGGAATCAATGATGGAACAACTTATACCCGCCAACTTTCTGTTGTGGAGATGTTTCCGGAAACCGTGCAAAAGGAGAGCATGAAATAAGGTAGTGAGACTCGTTTACGCTGGCTTTTACCTGCTGCGCCGCCGAAAACCCGTTTCCGGGGCAGCTTCAAGTTTCCCTCCTCCGGTTTTCCCCCGTTTCATTCTTCGCGTTTGGGAGACCGTTTTATCAAACCAGGGTGGGGGATAAAAGATGCCCCACCGAAGAATACTAATTTTTAATGTGAATAGTATTTTAAATTATTTTATGTGTCATATGCTTATTGCCATATTAAGGATATTTTAATTTTTTGGATTGTGCATGTATTTGTATGGTGAAGACAGTTCAAAAATTGCATTGCTTGATTGAAATTATGTGTATATGTTCCAGATGGAATTGGTCTTCATCTGTAGACTCGTTTAGGAGTCAGCAGGTTGAACAACTTTCTGGCTGGCCCACTAACATGAAGTTGTATAAACACACACATGCAAGAGGACAGTGGGCTGCTTGGCTCACTGACCTCAAAATCAAAAATGGGAATGATCCTCCCCATGCATGCCATCTTATCATTATAACCTCATGGCCAGATTGGGCTGGTGATGAGGAAAGAAAGAAAAAGAAAGGAGAGCCACAGACTATGAAGCCAGCGTCAGCTGCCGCTTCACTACTGGATAACAGTTGTTTATATCAATCAGATCTTTGCCCCTCCAGAAATATTGTAAGCTAACAAAGGTTACAAAGAAAGACAAATGACAAAAATGTAGAAATGAAAAATACAGCACAATCCACCGAGGAACTTGGCAGGAGGATTCTCCGTAGAATCCTCAGAAACGTGAGAAGGATTGTATCAGTAAATCCAATCTAGAGTGACTTTTGAGTCTGTCCAAAAGAATGGTGCAATGACTTAAGTCTTGCGCTTTCTTTAATTTATTTATCATCTCAATTGCTAGGCAGGCCGCCATTAGTTCAACTCGATTTATTCTTAGGGTTTCATTTTTTGTTTTGGTTTCTTGCGTTGGCTTTTTCTTTTTTGACTTTCAGATTTGTTTTTCTTTGTCTTTTTTCTTTTTCTCTGTTAGAGGTTTTAATCTAGATTTTCCCTATGAACTGAGCACGAACTAGTCTCACCAATGACCAGGAGATTTTCTAATAGCAGAGTTCACCAATGAATATAATAAATGATTGGTGCTCTCATGCCAGTTTTAACTGACCTGTTGTTTCTTTCAACCTTCTTCTCTGTCTCACTGACTTGCTGGGCTTGTTTACTATTGTTATCCTACACTCATATTTCAATGTGTGTGGATGAATTTCTTTTAATTTAACTCCCTTTAACAAATGTAGTAAATTGAACACAGTTCTTTTAGCATACAGACAGACTTTATTCAACTTCATGTTTTCACAACATTTCCTTCTTTGAATCTTCAATTCTAAAACCTAACTCTGCTCTGGATTGTGTGGCAGGTACCTTCTTGGAGGGACCCGCACACACAACTGAAGAAGGGAAGTCCAAAGATGCATTGTGGGCTTCACTGAGGGGTCAATGGAAAAGGGCATTGAGCAAGAATATATTACTATTCTTGCTCCCCTGTGTTTATGCATTCAGCAACATAAAAGGGAAGGGGGAAACCCATTTATGAATGATTATTTTATTTTTACTGAGGCACTTATATTTATTATTATAATGAGAAACATTAAGGTCCAATCCAATACTGGATGGATAGGTTTTTTTATCTGCTTAGATTATCAGCCTCTTGCAACAATGTTGCCTGAAGCTGACCAGCATAAATTACTGCCTCTCCTGCATGGAGGGCAGAATGTTTTAACCCAAAAGCAGTTCCTGCTTTTGGGACCAGGAGATGTCCAAAAGTTCATCTGGACAACACTATTTTCTGTCTTTCCACTCCAGCTTTGACTGGAGTGACCTTGCTATCTCACAAGAAGCATCAAGTTTCAATCTATGAAAAAGTTAGTTGCAGAAAAAATGTTATATCTTGTGAACTGTCGGTTATATCAATTTTTATGTTTAATTCTGAAAGATAGGAAACACTTCGTGCATTCATTTAAAACTATATACAATTTTGTATCACTGAAATTAGATTGGTTATTAACTTCTGTTGTACACTCCCAATTTTATAACCAATACAAAGTTTATTTCAATATTGGTAACCTTCAAGAGGATGATCCATTTGAAGTAAAGACAACTTTTAGAGATTAAATAGATTCGCACCTCTCCTACCATCTCCTAGTACATCTCCTTTTAATCAAGGTTTGGAAATGATCAAGTACTAAAGTCTTTGCCAGAAGAAAATAGTCTTTATTCAAATGAGCAGTGATACACAGCAGTGTAATCAATTAAACACAAGACACAGGGATCTGATGACTTCTGTACTGAACTATCTCTGGAGCTCAAATGCCTCCTGTACTAACTGCCTATTGCACTAGCTCTCTCCTATGCCAACTGACAGCCTTCCCTAATCTGACCAGGGGTTTATATACTGAGGATTTGGGGGTGAAACCAGGGAGGGGAAGAACACCTGTGTGCGCATGTGCAGGTAGGTGTCTTTTTACAACTTGCACAGGCCAGGGGTTACTACGCAGTTAGGGAGTTGCTACCCACCGGATAATTTGAGCATCAGCCAACGCGTCAACAATGGGTACTTGGCACGTCAAAGTACGCGCATCATGTTGATGCTTTCTGGTCAGTTTTTGTGGTGTGTCAAGGGTGTGTCGAGCCAATGGTTTGTGTGACGCACTGTTCTTCCCTTCATAAAACCGTCGGCTGGTGCATCAGATGATGGTTGGGACTGCTGCATCATACGACAGTTGTACACTTGCGCTTCAGTTCCTGATATGATCAGTTGACTAGTGGATGGATTCATGCATTGACTAATTGTGAAAGATAATTTCAGGTGTAATTAATGTTAATTAGGCCCTTAATTAATATACATAATTAATGAGGGGGATGGGGTGGTATATATTAAAGGAGTCTACACTGCATTGTTTTGATTTCCGTTTATTACAAAACCGTACACTATACATAATTAACACACATACTGCACATATACATAAATAATGTCATATATTCAAAACATAAAAAAGGTGTACATTCAAAACAAATCACATTTTGTTACACATTCCCTTGACACCTCTATACTACAGAACAAGTACAAGTAAGTATGGAATGAGTAAAAGTTACGTTTTGTGACTAATGCTTGCAACAAACACACTTTACTCTTAACTGTTATTTTTTCATGTCCTTATCTCCATTATTGGAGTACCACTTCATAATTTCCGATTCTACTTCCGTATCTGTTGCGCACAAAAAAACCAATTTCTCAGATCCTATTGAAGAAGGGTATATGGGTTTCTTGAAGGTTGGGTCCTTCTTCTTTTGTTCCAAATTTCTTTTCTTCCTCTTGTCTCTTCTCAGTTTCCTTATGGCAAGGTTAATTTGTGACCTGTATACATACATAAGATGTTTCATCATTAGTGTACTTTACTTTTCTCAGCAAGTTTAGGTACACTCACTTGACGGATTCTTCTGATACCATTGAAGTATTGTTTTCTCTCCCTTTATCAGCAGAACTGCTCTTGTTGTCCCTGACAGCTTCTGCATAGTGCATGAAGAAAGCCATGATGCCATTGAGTTTGTTCAAAGGCTGGAATTACAAGATTATTTGTTATTATCATGTTCATAGAATAAAAGTTCACACACATACAAATGATTCTTACTATTTGCAAGTTTTCCTTCTCTAGGTGCAAGTTCATGTTCAGAGGCGCGTCATCATGATCCAGAAATTCAGCGTCATCTCCATCTATTTTGTTGCCATCTACTGCATCATCTGTGTGAGACACAGCAGGGGTTACATAATCACTTGTTTTACATACCAATACCTTACTATACTTATTGAATAGGTATACAAACCTTTTTCTTCACTTGCATTCACTTTCCTGTTGNTTACATACCAATACCTTACTATACTTATTGAATAGGTATACAAACCTTTTTCTTCACTTGCATTCACTTTCCTGTTGGCAGCATAAACTTGAAGTAACATCCTTTGGTAGAACATTCTTCCCATGAGGTAGTAAATTGCTTGCGCTTTCTTACTTTTTGTCCCTTCTTCCTTGAGCCCCTTCACCCACATCAACTGCAATGGATAATAAGGATATTCATTTCATTAATTTTCTTACAATAAATTATGCATTCAACCATTATACCAATTTAACACGCATTGTGTTGTTGGACAAAAAGTGATCAACTTCAATCAGCTCCTTCCTTGTCTTTATAGGCCAAGAAATGCCTAAGCTCAAAGGATCTTCACATTCTGTGATAAGAAATTGTAGCACACGTTCAATAACGTGATTGTTTCCTTATGCACATTCCTTAATTTATACGTATAATCACTATGAGAAAATAATGAAAGTTATTCTTCTTTTCTTTAATTCAACACCAAACCTTTTCTGGTTGGAAAGTTCATGACAGATGTTCTGCTGCATATCTGATCCAGTTGCACATGTATATCTCCCATAAACTGCTCAAATTGTTGCCTCATTTCCTGAATTCCTTTTTGTATGCCTTCCTGTGTGTCATCCTGTATTCCTTTTTGTATGCCTTCCTGTATGGCATCCTGAAATCCTTTTTGTATGCCTTCCTGTATGGCATCTTGTATCAATGACTGAATTCCACCCACGAATTGGCCATTAACGTAAGCTGCAATGAACAAGTAAAATACTTGATAAATGGGCATATTTACATAAGTTACATTTCAACATACGTTGGGGCTGTGACATTTCCTGTCCTGGTGGATATTCCATTGTCTGATGATGTACTGCATGCTGATGATTCTTGTTGTATGTTGTTGCATACCCACTTTCTGCATATCCATTTGTTAATAAGTAAACGTATTCAATTGACTTATAGAATAAGATTCAGCAGTCTGCAGTCTCCTCTTACTTGAAAGAATTATTGCTTGTTGAACATCAGATGCATAACTCAATTTGGACGCTTCACTCCTATCCTGAGGTTGTATGAGAGCCCTTGCTGCTGCTGAGTTGTCTTCTAGCATCACTCTAACTTCTTTTGTCTGGCATGCTTGAAGGGGAGTGAGGTTCAGGAAACTGTTGGAGCATGGAAGACTATCTTCATCCGGGTACCCACTAATAGTCATATTTGCTTTTTTGGATGCATCCTCAGTATCCTCTTCCAGTCCAGTTTGTGTGGTTCCTTTGTAAAAACATGTGCAAATTTTCAAACATTATATAGAAAAATACAAAATGTATATTAAGGAAAGGTGTACATATAACTTACTCATTTCAGTTGTCAATTCCATTGATTCTTCAGGTATTGGATGTATCCTGTTATTCTTTTCGTGCAATGCTGCGTAGAATATGTGTTCATCACAATTGATGAGGTTCTCATCTCTTTTACCTATCAGCAGTAAAAAAGAATGACACATTCAATATTATTATGCACTTTATGTAATTTCTTTCATATACATTTTTGGAAATTTTAGAATTATGTTTGCAGCTATATTTACCTAGAGTCTTTGTTATTTTCCGCTTCTTCTTGTTATTGTCACCACCTGGATTTTGGTTTCCATCATCATCGTGACAGTCAGCATCATGACACTGATCAATTGTGTCCAACAGCTTCTTAGGAATCCTCCTCATCTTCATCCCGCCTGAGTCTTTTATAGCACCAAATCCAGGAGAGATGTAGCCTTCTTTTTTATGGGAAGACTGGTTCCTTGTTAGAACCGTTGGATGAAAACCTATTTGCAGATGGTAGAAATGTATTATGAGATTGTAAACAGTGAAACCTATTTAAAATTTTGCATTTGGAAATGAAAACACTCATACATTTATACACATCCACGTAATTGACAGAAGGTATCAAATGGCACGTAGATACTTATGCTTCAATAAGAGGCATACGTATATGTGCCGTATGCATGCTTAACGTACCGCCTACTTTTATATTGACTATGAATATAGCCAATAAAAGTTGACGGTATGTTACGTGTACCGCCACATGCAGTATGAATAACCAACTCAGAAAACAAAGAATTTACCTAAGTTCCCTTCACACCAAATGATACCAATTTGGTACTTGTCCATCAAGGGGGGATCAGCAATTGGAAACCTCTTGAAGAAGTTCAAATCCGTTAATGCTTCATTGTATGTGCTTTCACTTGGGAACAGAACGTTCTTGGCATTTTGGCTGACCCAATTGATCAGCACACAACCTGATATATGAAAATCAAGCACATGATATAATAATCAGTTGTAAACAGGAAGGAGAAGGCCACGGATTCTACATTCACATATTCACATGCATGGCATTCCAAAACATTCATTGCGTTCCTTTGGATTGATTTCCCATATTTTCTGCAGTTTCGGCAGGGGCATGCCCTCATTTTGAAAATACCTTTGCCAGTACGCGCCTCCATCCAAAATGGTTATTGAAATTGATATTGGAATGAGTTCAAAATCTTCTTCAGAAGCATCTCGGCAAGCTATCCCACTCTTTGTTTTCCAGGACCCACAGTACTCGGATTCCAAATGATTCCACTTTTGTCCCCAGACCATTTGTTCCACGTTTTTCTAAAGGAATATTGAAGTACTTCGAATTACACTCTTCAAGTGCACCTGTTATTACTAAACATTTTACGCAAAGCTGGACAGATGTTACATCCAGCGCATGCGCATGCACATTCAGTTACGGTTTTTGTTGTTGGTATGTATAGGCATCGCCTCATTGTACTGTTTGGGAGTTCTGTCCCTCTCTTTTTGCAGTTCATTTATACATTCATTACTATCATCAGTATACCAACTACATTCTTCAGGTAAATGAAAAGGTACCCCTGCACTTTGAATGAATGTATATATAGAACGTATTTATTTAATGCATCTGGAGTACTACATTTTTTCTCTAGGTTAAGAAGAAAACAAAGTTTGTAATGCATATTCGCAAAATGTTGCAGAATTTTTCAGAAGTTAAGGGACGGAATTTGTTAAAAATTTACCAGGAATTTCTGTATTGGCAACTAAAAAATGTAATGTTACTGTTTGCAAATACCTTTGCCAGTACGCGCCTCCATCCAAAATGGTTATTGAAATTGATATTGATATTTTCATTCCAAAACAGGCAATATTTGTCTTGTATTCCATTCCCGTATCAAGATTTCCAAAACATTCATTATAATCACTTGAAGAAAAAGTGTATCCAGTGCATTCTGGCAAGTCAAAGGCAGAGAGAATCCCGGTCAGCCTGCAAACTTCTTCGTAAAACAGTCATATTTCCTCCTCCTGTTTGATTTGCTCCAAGAATGGCCTTTGTACCCTTCTGAAATAGAGGTAGTTATCCTCCAGGAAGTACAATTACATAACTGTACTATTGGAAATTTCTGGAACAATATTACTAATGATACATAAAACTGAATGTAAAATCATGTTTTTATCCTTACCTAGGTGCATGTTGTAGTATTTGTCGTTTTGAACATCAGACAAGGTGATGTTTGGAATGACAGTCACTCTGTTAATACCCAACAGAATGTTATGTCAACGTTGTTTCTTCATTTGGTAATCTTTGTAATGGAACATAATTTGTTTCCCAATTTTATTCATCCTTTGGACATGACTCACGTCCATATTCATGTCTGAAGTTGAACACAGTTTATGCATTAATTGTCCTCTATAGCCAATCTTATAATCAAATTACCAATTGCCATTTCTTCAGTCTCAGTCATTGTCAGCATGTATGTTTTCCTATAATAACCAACAGAGTATGTGTACCCCTTTGTTTTTTTAAAAACCTCTGAATACAAAATGTTGACAGTTTTGTTTGTCAAAATTTTATCTGCCAACTCCTTGGGGGAAAAATTTTTCCCCCTCAAGTTGACACCGTTGCTCTTTATGCTCCTGTATGCATGGTAACCCGCCCCACAGGGTAGGACACAACACAGAGCAGTGCACATGGGGGGATCTGGACTGTTGAATTTGGGTGGTGGTGTGTCTCCATCTTCATATCCTTGATATTCCTTTTGCTGTTCCAAGTACGCAGCCAATTGAATTTTTTCTTGAAATTCATAATTAAAAATGGGATGGTCATTTCCAGCAGGAGTTGTAGACTCATTGTCAGACTCTTTGTCACTTTCAGATATTGTAGAAAGAGGAGATCCAAATTGCAACTCCTGTTTGTGAAATTGTGCACAGTTTTGTTGTTTGGATCTTAGTAGATGTTGAAACGTATCCTTTTTTGTAACTTCTAAGTGCAGCAACTCGTGTTGATCATTCCATGATTTTTTAGTTGCCTGCTTTATTAAATCACAACGCCAGTCATCAGCTACCATAGTACTGAGCCATGGCAACAGTGTACCTGTTACTTCATGGTGAGGATGTGCAATGATTTTGTTTTTCATTATATTCAATTCTTTTGGAAATTCACTCTATTAAAGTTCTTCAGACGCGAGTAATTTTCTGTTTTAGTAACATGGCACTTTTACAGACTCCGTAATTCCATGCACCTTTCACATGAGTTGTACCCACTTGATGCTGTTCCTGAATGATATTTAAAAAGTGTAGCATGAAAAATTTAAGGCAAGGGGAATCATTATATTCAATCATATTAGTACATGATTTTAATTTGCCCATTTTTTGTAATTCTATTTCATATCATTTTAAACATCATTTCATCATTAAAAATTTTTTTTGTTCATGAATCTTCCACAGGTTTCCAGTTATGTTCAATCGTTACGCATCTTTTGCGTACCATGATGATCATTCCAGAATGCAATGGAATGCAATAAACTTTGCAGAACAAAATTTTCAATTTTCTTTTGGAGCTTAATTCACACATGTACAATAAGTATCTTGAAATTATGCAGTGATTAAGCAGGGCAATTGAATTTAATATGTATTTTTTACTTTCTAATTCATGAAAATTATGCATGTTCCCAACTTTACTATAATCCAATAGTTTTAGAATACACTTATGCAAATGATGAAATACAAAGATTTGTTAAACGCACCAAATGAGGAAGAATTGACTAACCTTTTAAAATTGACCTCTCTTTTCCATCTGCTATCACACACCTAACCCTTACAGCAAAAGGATGCTTCTCTCCTTTGTTTCTCATTTCCGGTATGAAGTCCAGATGAAGACCCAGTGCCTCCTCCAACATTAGGTGAAGGAAACCAAAGAGATTCAATTTCCTTGTCCATGATATATACCAATTATCATTGGATGCGATTTTTCCATAGGCACAATTACTGTCGGTAACACAGTGTCAGTTGTTCCAAACCCATATACTTGCATCAAGATTGGTTTTACCTATGATTAAATGAAATGCAATCAAATAAGTTATGCTTGAGGTTGATAGCAATTATTTGACTTATCATCACTCACATCTTTATGCATTGAATTGCCAAATGCTTGTACACCATCTATGTGTAAATCTATCCAAATGCAGGTTTCACTCGTACCTCCTGCTGTCAAACATGTTGTTTGCATTATTGGGCCAAATGTATTTCCATGCATCAATACATTCTGGATGCTTGGTTCAAGAGCAGACAGGAAGTGAATTGTGAAAATATCACCATGCAGGGCTGTACATGAGTTAAAAGTCGTGCATATTCCTATCCGTTTAGTAAACCTGCATGAAAAGAAGGGAATGAATTATTTTTATAAGTTTGTATTGAACAAAATTTTTTAAGGAAATTCCACCATACAGGTGGATGATAAAGCAATACCTCTTGATTTTCCCAACAAAGCTTCTTTTAATCCCAAGTGCAGGTACCAAATTCCATTTGTTTTGGTTAAAACTTCCTTGTGCTGCAAAACCTTTGGCAACTTCCCAGAAACATTGTAAATTTTTGGCTTTCCAAACATTCCTTTCGGAACCTCATGAGAGATAAAACATATAAAAGGTGTATTATACGTAAATGTTATAAACGTATTATAATTAAGGTGAAACAAATTTCATTATGATAGTTTCACTTTATGAATGTTAACAATGTTCCCATAATACTAAGATGGATTGATGAAATTTGAGGAAAGAAATTAATTTTAGGTTCATAAGAGGAATTGCAGATTCCTGCAGTTCATTCCAGTTTGACACTGGGCAAAACTTTTGCATTGCAGCAACAAAGTATTCATAATGTCTTCTGGACATTTTTGCATAAATCATTAAGAAATGCCGTACAAAGGAAATGAAAGCATAGTTATCAACAATAGCTTTTGATAAATCAGGTCCGCGGAAAGCAACTTTGACAATGTTATTGTCATTAATCACATCTGCTTCATCATCACTTGGGTTGCTAGCATATTCTTGCTGAATATTTGGACTAGGAGGACCTGTAATGAAGTGGTATTCATAAGTTTCTTGACTATGCACGGTGTAATATATGGTGCCAACAATATTAACCGGGGCAAATTTCAGATGCAGAAGAATTGTCTGACGCAGGCATGGAAATTTCCTCAATGCTTTGAGCATTTTTACTGCATTTGGCATGAGGCCCGGTATACAGCATTGCTGCGCTAGCTGTTGCTGATGATCTCAATGAGTACTTGCTGGTGTAGAGGTTCAGGTTCAGTTTCTTGAGAACTTGAAATGGAACATGCTTTGCAAGTTCCAAAGCAGTAGACCACAACACAAACTTCTCTTGAAGTATACAAAGAATATGCGCCTGCACAGTCCTCCTCCAACGTTTTACAAGGTCTACACTTAGGGATTCTGCATCAGGACCCCTACCTTTTTTTTGGAATGCACAGATGAAACCGCTGTAATCATCAAGGGTCAGGAATGAAAAATCTGGTGTTTCTTGACTCATCTGCAAAGGCAAATAATGCATGAAAACCGTTAAAAAAACATTAGTTATTTGCATACAATGGTTGTTGAAGTAAAGTATTTCTTAAATGATAACATAAAGGTCGCGGGATGGAAAGGAGACCAAACCAAAATTAAAGTTTATTATAAAATTATATGCATGCTTAATGAGTTTTCAAACTTTATGTGTATTTTGAAAAGGAAACAAAACAAAACTTACAGATTATTTTATCACATGAGTTCTTCAGTTTTCTGAAATTGTGTTTTTTCCAAAAAAGAACAGTCAAAAGTGTTTGAGTTGATAGAAATGTTGGACAACCATAAAAAATTTACAAAATGGATGACATATATTCCTACACTTTCTCCCCAAAATGGGCAGGCCCAAATTACATATATCAGAAGGGCACCCCCATCCCACCTCCTTGTGATGATGAAAGGAAACAAACGCATATGTTTTCAATGTATCAAGCGCTTTATATAAAACGCAGTTGAACAACTAAAACCCCCACAAAATTCAACCAAGGCCATAGCATATCAAATAACAAATTACTGAAACGCCATCAAGGAAAGTTGATTAGCCATGTCCTGATGTGAAAAACACTTCTTGAACGCATTCCAGAGTCAATTCCTTTTCTGAAAAACTTGTTGGAACCAGAATCTGAATTTTGCGTATTTGTATGTGTTGATCATGTTGTTCTCTTCCATGTACCTTCCTATGACAGCAGTTGCGTGTATTTCATACGCATTGGTTAACTGTGAAAAACAAAGAAAATGTTGAATATTAACCATTGTAAAACATAATTAAAAAACCGTGATATTAATACATACCCATCTATAGAATGCAAAAGCTCCCACAGCCCCGTCTAATGAGAAGCATTGCTTTTTGTTTGGCATGCTTTGTATTTCATCAAGTAATGTTGCCGCGCCATCTGCATCCAACAAATTCGTATTCTGTACTTCTTCCTCCAACACTTTATTGAAAAGTCGGTGCAGGAAACCTTCTGTATTTAAGACAAGCATGCAAAAGTTGTAATTCGGATATGACTGAAAAATGTGTATGCCTATATAAGTAACTAACCTTCAACTGTTATACTTTTTGGACTAAGACCAAAAAGGCAGTTGATCTGGAATTGGGTGAATGGGGGACCTGAGTCAGTTTTTTTTCTTTGTACGAGACACCCGTAATTCCTGATGCCCCCACTTGAATCCGCTTGAAAAACGGCTTGGACAATGAGGGAGTTATAGAACTCACGGCCTAGACTCTTTTTCTGAAATGTCAATGAGCATTTGATATTTTATTTCATGGAAGCATTCTCAATTATTATACATTATCATTTAACTTTCTACTGAGTTACACTCAATATGAAGCGTACCTATCAACTATCAAATATTACATTGTAAAGTGGACATAAATCATTAATGATAATGATGATTACCACTTATAATGAGGTCTGAGGATTTCACTTTGAAGAGCAAAATTAAATATTTAAATAATTACTGCATCAAGAAGTGTGTATAAGGTCTAAGTGATGATTATTAAAGTACTAACTGTAACATTGTTGGGGTCATCATCGACATCATAACCTGGTCCAGCATCACAGTCCATGTTGTTCCCACTGTTAACCATGCGTATTAGGGTTCCACAGTACACTTGGACTCAAAGAATTAGTTCTTCTAGGTCATCCAGATGCATGATTAATACAAAGTCCTTGTCGTTATACTCCGCAGCAACAAGTATAACGCAGGGAACAGGAGTGTTATCCAAAGTGACCAAAATGAAAAATTGTATGAGATATTTTCAAAAAAATTAGTGTCGAAATGTATGAGAGTGTGGATACTCTCACACATTGTCCCATACCGGGACAAGTGTTCTGTACTGGGATACTTGTTCCGGTAATTACCAGAACACTGCGATACAATGTACCTGGACACTCATCCAGGTGCAACGTCAAGGAGAGTACAGTATGATGTAACAATAATATTATTATACTAATGGAACCATCAGTGAAAGTCATAAGGATGAGTGCTTAATCTTTCACAGATCTTCTCCCAAGATTTATGTTGTTACAACATGTACATTATTTTCTGTCACAATTACATTGATACAAGGTTAATATGCAAGTTCAGTATACTTACCATGCAGAATGGGACATTAACAATCTCCTGAGGTGCAATCCTCTGAACATCCAAGCATCCTTCGTACACCCTCTCGGAGAAATGAATTTCAGTGCTGGACATGACTCCTGGAATGGCATGGCATGGGAAGTCCCACAGAGGGTTGTCATTAAATTTGGATCAACCAAAATTTTCCTGCACAAACCCGCGGTCAAGGGTAAATGTGCAACTTTTCTGCCTCCAGTCATTGTTAGGTCCTGCAATAGTAAAATCCAGAAAAATGTTCAATGTTTAGGTAACACGTTATTCAATACAAGTCTTGAAATATATTACGTACCATTGTAGTTTGGTTCCTTATCTTGAAGTAAATCATGCATGTGGGTGTGGCCTTCCAAAGCCCCCTGCATGAAAGCACAGTAAGCAGCAAAAGATTCAGAGGTGTTATCCAAATGACACTGTGGTGGTTTGCTAACAACATTTCCTTCAATTACAATGTAAGTAAAAATTAAATTATGCACATGTAAGGGAATCATAGATTTGGTATTCAAATAACTTACCTTATTCTTCATCTTGTAAGGCAAATGCATTGTAAAGGATGGACACACTGACCAATTCTGGTGAAGATATGGCGTGTGATGGTGTTGCAGGAATGTATTCTGATAATACAGCAGGAGAGGATGTGGAAGCCTATAAATGAAGAAGTGCATGTTGTACATCCGGAAATGTTGAAATTATTTGTACTGGCAAAAACAAAGTACTGTTAAGTGGGTGCAGAACAACAATAAGTCCAAGTGAAGTAAATTGTTGATATTTTCCATTTCGTGGCATTAAATTTTGTAATACTTTAATCGCAACTTTTTAAAATTTTTTGTAAAACATTTTTCATGTACATTGTGTGACACAACCTTTTCCAAGGCAAAGGAAGAAGTGTGATGCTGTCCTAATTCCTCAGCTGTTTACGTCAGGGTTTCCTTGACAGCTGCAGTTTTATGGTGTCGCTAAATTACTTTGTTGTATTTAGCCAACCCTCTGCACCCCAATTGGAGGGCATCCTCCATTTTGGTTGCTACTATACCAACTTTTTCTCTTTTGATAGTTAAGTATACAACTTATTCATGTTTCACGGGTTTTTAGCTACCAATTTTGAGGCACCTAACCTTCTTCTCCAAAATTCTACTGTGTCACAGTTGGAAATCTTGTATCTTACTTGAAAGTCAAGTTTCTGTTTCAACTTGTTCTTTCAATGCCAGAGGCGTGTAGCTCAGTTGGTTCAAACATTGGCTTGTATTTCGGATCTCTGAGTTCAAATCTCTTCAGTGGGATTTGGGTTTCTTTACAGGTTCTTCATTCTTATAAGAGTTCATGTAGTTTGAAGGTTCCGGAAGAGAAGGAATTGTGAATGTGATTATGAAAGTATTCCGTGACAGCATGCACATGTGATGCAAAATGAATTGTGATGGGGTTTGTGGTAATCTGGGGTACTTGTTGCAAACTGTATGAGACCATATCCCAAAGTACCACCATCCTGTTACTAAACTGACTTTTGTGCTGAAAAAGTTGTGATTGGGTTCTGAGAGCTTGGGCTAGTTGTCTGGAAATTGATAATACCAGCATAGCCCAAACTCCCACCATCCCATTACCTCCGATCAACTGATTTGTAGTTGTGATTGGGTTAGGCTGCCTGAGTTACTTGTCTGGAAATTGATAAGACCATAGCCCAGGCTCCCTCCATCCAATTACAACAAACTGCTTTGTTTCACAATTTGTGATTGGGTTTGGTTGCCTGACTACCGCAATCTTGTTACTATACTGACCGCTGTGTTCCCACCTCCTGCTCCTCCACCCTACAGGATATATAGATGCAATTGGATTTGGGAGCCTTGGATGGCTGTATAGGAATTGAATATAGGAAGCCGTAACCAAGGCTTCCAAATCCTGTTGCATGCAACTTGTATACTATACTAGAATCTAAAACCTGTAAGAATCAAAATTTTTTTGATTTTGGCTATTCACATAATATACTTAAGTAAGTAAAAGTTTTTTCATAATTTCTCCTAGCCTTATCTTGTCAAGCAATTTTTATACAAGAAATATATAAGGATCCTGAAGTAACTATATTTTCGGCATGTATAAGGGTATACAAATTAAACAAGTATAATTTCTTATCAAAATAATCTAATAATACTTGCTGTACTAATTTTTACCCATAAATGCAGGGGAACATTTTTTGAGCATTCCTATAATTATTAAATGTGCCTGTTTATATGATTTGTGTAAATTATCAAGTGATATATAATGTCAAAAAACATATTCTGATATTACCTGCTGTTCCCAAAGGTTGACAACACGGTTCATGACATTGTTGCTCCTTTTCCTGGAAGATGTTACAATGTTCTTAGTAGGCTTCCTCCCCCTTTTTTGCACACCCTTCTGCTTTTTGGCACAGCGCACACTCTTCTGAAACAGTGCAAAATTATACATTCATTTTGTAACTCATGGTGAAGTATACGTCAAAAATAAATGATGAAAAAATGACATTTTCAAAAATATGGAAAAATGTGGTATACGTACTTTTTTGGATGCATTTGCCATTCCTTCATTGCTTTCACTTGTGCTGGCGATTTTGCTGTCAAATTTGCTGTTGCTGTTGCTCCAGCTACTACTGGAAGAACGTGTCCATCTCTTTGACTTTCTAGAAGTTGTTGGACCTTTGTTTTTGATGTGGTCCATAGCGACATGTCTCAGCTGGTGAGGTGCTGGTCCAACTTCTTCTTCCTCATTAATGGCCCCATTGCCATTTCTGACATTTACTGATGATGAAGCCATGGCGACACGTCTCTTTTTAGTGAGCTGGCAAGGTGCTGGTCCAGCTTCTTCCTCATAATTGGCCACGTTGCAATTTCCAAGATCAGCTGAAGCCAGAATTTGCACCCGATTCTGATGAATAAAAGTACATGTTTGTATTGTTAGGAGAAAACCAATATATAATTCCCCAATTCTCTAAGAACATACTTTTATGGCATAATGTGTGGCCATGACAAGGTTGAACAGCATGACGTCATCTCTCTGGAATCTTAGTAGATTCATGATGAGGTTCATTACAAGCTTACAGAGGGCGCAATCCTCCACTGTTGATTTCATACTTGCAATGATGATCATTTCCCTTGCGTCAACGTTTGGCCATTTCGTCTTCATGAATTGGACAAAATTTCTGCTCAACACACATCCTTCTCATTCTTCACTTGATGAAAATTCATCAGGAGATGCATTTGTTTGGGTTGCCAAGGTTGTAAGATTTGGCCAATCACCTTCTGTCTGTGTGCTAGCTGTCCTTATTGAGGACGTCTTCATTTGTGTAACTTTTGTCAAGGTACATGAAGGGACATCCATTTGCATACCTTTTGTCATATAACACGCAGGGACATCCGTTTGTGTACATTTTGTAAAAGTAAAAGTACTATGTAAATTATATGTTCTGAAGTGGAACATTATCATGATAATAATAAAATTATTATGTCAGCGTAATGGAGTCCCATGAGGGAATGCAGCAAAATTACTAAGTTAAAATGAAATTGTCCAGAATGTTGATAAAGTTGACATTCTTCATAACTGCAGCAGTTGGAGTGATTTTACAATGAAAAAGTTCTTTAAGAGCAATACTTTACAAGGGGCGTTGGATTACAAGGTTACTAGCTGATTCAAGAGATGGACAAAAATGAAGCATTGTGTGGTACAATTGTGCTGTACGTTTTTGTGTATTATAAGTTCCACAAGAAATGACTATTTGAATTTTTTCACCCTTTCCGTACCCATGTTACTCAGAGCTGTTTGGACAAAATTTCCAGAACTTCTGTCAAAGCGTACATCATGTAAAGATGTACGTGGAACAGCGTTCCAATTAACAACCAAAACATTGGGTTAAATGGGCCTTTTGGAATATAACTGCTGAAGGCAGTAAAAAAAAGCAGATGCAGTCATGAACAAGGAAAATCTAAACAAAATACTGCACTTGCAAAAGCTATTTTCCTTGCAGAGATATTTTCTGTTAACTGCAAGGTCGTTCGTCAAGGGTCAGGTCTCACGGTGATTCTCAAGGTGGAGGGCATTGAAAACTGGGGTTTGGCAGCACAGTTGCAAAAGTTGAACAATGTGCTGTGCTTCAATATGACCAAGCACAGAGGGGTGTCTCACGTAACAATTGAAAGACTTCTTGCAACAACATTTAAATAGCACAACTTTGACTAAGGCAGCAAATTCTGGAGTTCTGGCTTGCAGTCTGAGTTTGGAGATCTTGTCAGCAATATTGGAGTTGAGCAATGAACCTGCGTCAAAGTTTTCTGTTTTGAAGAAGTGTACATTGAATCCTTACAATTGACTGGAATTAGGTATACGGTCAATAACAAAGAGCAAACACTATTTGAGAACAGATAGTACTGTGTTGGTCTTTATAGCATTATATGCATACACCATGGCAGGTGCTGCACTCATTAGAATTGCAAAAATTGGCAGGAAAATCTTTAAAAGTTTTCTAAGCCAGGTAAGTCAATTATAATTTTTGGTAATAACATTTCAAATAATTACATTTTTAATTTAGATATTTACTTGTGAAGGCTGATAGTGGAGACGCCCCTTTGTTTTGTGTCAAATTGTACTTTGGGGGTAGCGAGTACACAAAGGCAGGTCTATTTCTTGGAATTGCAGGACTGGGCGTGTGTTTGGGAATGTATGTTTCCAGACGTATGCTAAGCCGCTTAAGTTGAATTTCATAAATGCTAAACAAATTTGAAAGAATTTCTTTTTTATTGATGGTTTTTTATTTGATGTTTATAATGTTTAATTACTGATTGGACGTGCTATTCAATTGTTAAGGCGGATAGCGGAACCCAAGTGGTGAAAGTCATTACAATTGAAAACATGCAGGACAATTTGAAAATGGAAGTACAGTTGGTGGCGTTGGAAGGATCTTCTGTGATGGGTGGACATCTACGTACATGACAATTAACGTTCACATTGAGTCTAGCGCGTTGTTGTGAGCTAATTGGTCCTGTTTTTTTGGTTGATGACAATCAGTCATAAGCATAAGTTACTTTTTTTCATTGTGAAAAATTTGTTTTTGTCAATTTTTGTGAAACTTTTACATGCTACAAATGCATTTGGTTGACTTTGGGAGGTACTTAATGGAAAAAATTCCCTGAAAACCAGTGAAATTTTTTTATATGTGACAAAGTTTGTTTTTGTCAAATTTTGTACAACTTGTATATGCTACAAATTGATTAGGTTGACTTTGGGAGATACTTAATGGAACAAATTCCCTGAAAACCAGTGAAATTTTTTTATTTGTGACAAGTTTGTTTTTATCAATTTTTGTACAACTTGTATATGATACAAATGTATTTGGTTGCCTTTGAGAGAAAATTCGTGGAAAAAATCCCTGAGAATCATTTATTTCTTTTTTGTCAGACTAATTCGTTTTTGTCCATACTTTTACAACTTTTCATTGCTTGTTAACACATTGTATGGTACTGTAACTTTTATTATTGTACGGAACACTATTACGGAACGTAATTATAACAGAATGTTCAGTAACGTAATGTTCTGTACTGCAAAAAAAGTGTAACTTTTATTACGGTACGGAACACTATTACGGAACATAATTATAACAGAATGTTCAGTAAGGTAATGTTCCGTACTGTAAAAAAATTGTAATAACACTTGTTTATTTAATAGTTGCACAGTTGACACTTGTACTTGCACAACGCTGAAAAGAGTGTATAAGGTTAAAGGAGAATATGAGATCTATTGAAAGCAACTGATTAAAAGTGATAAAATGGAACGATGATAATTGAAGGATGATAAAACTAACCTTGGGTTATTGCAGGGTTATTAAAGTTGTCCATGATTGTAAGGCATGAAGCAGATTCTTCATCTGTTACAAGGGCAGAGTCAGCTTCCACCAACTTGATGTCAATTTGATGGAGATTTTTCAACCCTTGAATTCATGATAGGTCAGCATTAACACACTACAAATATAAGATATTGAACATAATTCATACCACGTTTCTTCATGATGTCCACAACAGCAGTTATGAATTCCTGCAACGTTTGTGCAGAAATACTTTCAAACTGCTGTACATTGAACGAGTTGAAGTAATCCTCTGGGATTATATTCTTCAGAACATCCAAATCCATTGTGTATGCGTCAAATTCTTTGACACCACATACTTCTGGGAGCACATTTTGACAATAGAGTTTGTTGGAGCGCAAAGTATAATGACATGACATTACTTGCCAATAGAGTCATGCACAACACATCTTCCTCACTCATTTCACAATTTTGCGCATTTCTTTCTGAGGTTGAAACTTTTGCCATTTTGCACAATTCTTATAATCTGCAGAAAATTAGAAAAACATTAGAGAAAAGGAAGAAAACATCAAGTTCCATATGTAAAAGAGAGTAATTAAATATTGGACCAGGCCACAATATGCATCTCTAAATATGTATTCAATTATACAATTAAAAGCATATACACGCCAGAAAATTGAAACACACATGTTGTTGACATGTATATACAGTATACACACGTAGGAACTTTAAAACTAACATGTTTTTGACAATCCAGCAGATCAGGGGGGGGGGGAGATGTGCCATTTTGCAAAAAAGTAACATCATCATCATCAACCCACCTCTTACCCTTAACTTCCTCAACATATTTTTCTTTATCAAATGATTCTTTTTTTCCCCTCAACAGAAACTAATTTAAAGGCTTCTGGGTAGGTGGGTGGGAAGGTGACTTCATCAAGAGGAGATGCAGGAAACTGCCGCTGCTCTTCCAAACCATAATCACGTCTGCTGGCTTTTTTCTTCCTCTCATGCAGTTCCTCTTGTACTGTTACGTGGACACCTCTGTCCAGGGAAGCACTCCTTGACCTTTGCCTGAAATTAATGTAAATAGTACTGTATTTGGCTTACAATGTTAAAAATTGAATTGCACACCTTTTCTTTCCGAGATCCTTCACAATTTCCTGAAGAAATGCAATCCTTTTGATGAGAAACTGAAGATGATCCATGTTCCAGTCACCTACTTCTTTCTCCAACCTCCACTCTTCTTCATTTTTTGGTCTGCAAATAACAATTGTGAAATAATGTAACATGTTTGCACTAAATTCAGTTCATATTATTATATACTTACACTGGCACCACACTCAAGTCTTGTAGAGTTGGAGGTTCTGCAAAGGAATTGATTATAATCCCAATTAAATTGTTTTGTCCATCCTCCAGGAAAGTTAATCCATTTGTCAACCATTCCCTGTACTTGTCAGGATACTGGTAACAGACAAATGGTTCCATTGGAATCCTTACACTGAAAATGAAATCATTTATTCCGTTTCAAAATAATATGATTAATAATTAAATAACATCCATACATACTCATTGCAAGTGATCTTAAACCATGATCTTAAACCATAGTTGATCCAGAAGGGAACTGCGTAGTTGATAGCAACATTGATGTTGAACTCATCATTGAAACCCCCCTGGTATCCCTTTGGAAAGGTCACAACAAACTCCCAGGGATGCTGAATAGCAATAATTGGCTTTATGCCAAACTGCCTGAACCATCTTGGGTCAAAAATGTGCATCTTGTGTTGCATAACATTTTGGCACATTGTGCCTTGGGCAAGTAGAAGATGGACAACCTTCTCAAACATTGGGATGTCCTTTGTACAGATTGAGTACCTGTGTGGAATAAATTTTATTAAAAATTTTGTAATTTGACAATACATTAAATATTATCAAGTATATACTTACCAATACTTTGGATACCCCGCACATTGCAGATTTATGGAGAGGAGGTCCATGTCCTCACAGTGCATTGGGAACACAGTACCTCTTGATCCAAGGAAGAAGTAAGGGGTGTTGATTCCAGAAACAATCCTGTTCTCTTCTTGACCAAAGTTCCCCATCATGTTCCCAAAGATATTTCCAGGAATATCCGTCAAGTCCAAGTTGAATTTTTCCTGCAATTTAATTTATATTTTAAATGTAACTTATTGCAATAAGTGACGTTCCGCAAAAGCCCCAACATTTGTAAGCTTGGGTACATGCATACGGCACAGGCAGTTGAACAGGGTACAACTGTTATTTATCATTTTTAAATGAGTGCTGAAGTTGTAATAATTATTAACAAAGCATTATTAACGCGTATTATTGTTTGTATTTCTCTTCCAGTGAATTATTATTAAGTGTTGAATTATTAACACAATGATCTATGGTTAAAATATGGGAAAAGAGAAGGGGATGGTATTGTATTAAATTAAATTGTATCATGCAAGTATATGATCTCATACATTAAACCAAACATTTTTGAATTCAGTGCATGCACCATAGAGGTTCCTACATTTTCCCTTTCAAAATTAAAAATATTGAAAATAAAGAAAGTTGTGCTGAAACATACAGAAAGCATTCTTCAAAATTGGGGGAAGCAGAATGAAAAAGGGTTTTGTACAAGCAAAAGTGATCAATGAAATTTTCATAGTATTGTACAAAATTTTTCTGATGGCTCCCTTTGAAAATTGGAGCCAAAAGAAACAAGCCGACTTGCAACTCAATCTGCGCATTTCTGTATGCGCAAAAGCAGCACTGGCAATATACAAAAGAAAATCCCCAAAACTGGGGTGGCTACAAAATGAAGACAATTTGACAAGACATGAAGAAATGAACTGTTGAATTGGGATAAAAACAAACACCAAAGTTGGCACCCCCCTTATCAGCACAGGGGGACATGTACACTTTCTTGGGAACTGGTGTCATTTGACCCCTCAAAAGGGCAAAAAATATGGCTGGCTGTTGGCAACGCGCACTGAAAATCTCTTCTCCTCTTTCCCGAAAAACAATTTGTCTTGATAAGGTTCAAAACCTTTGTATTATACGCAAGTACAGTATATGTATTATTCTTTGTATTTTTTTTCAATGAATTATTATACAGTATTACTGTTCAATTATTTACATGATGAACCATGGTTATTATATGGGAAAAGAGAAGGGAAGAGTATTGTATTAAATTGAATTGTATCAAGCCAGTATAAGAAAAGTTATACTCAAAGATTCTGTGATTTGTGCATAAATGAAAACAAAAAACCCACTCACATCATTTGGCCTTCCACCACATTTCTTGATTTTGTGGAGTCTGGTCTCTTCCACCTTCAATAATTCTGTGATGTAACTCTTTTCCTCCATTGTCTCATTTAATTGAAGAGATCTCAGGGCAGACCAAAATGCCTTCTGAGCTGCTTCTCCAGCTATCCTCTCTGCTTCTTCATCCCTTGGCTTACACTCGCCTTCAGCAGAAGCTGCTGCAATTGTTGGGGGATGCGGAAGTGTACAAGAACTTCCTCCAAGAGCATATGGATGCATCAAACCCTTCTCATGGGTCAGGTGAAAGTACTTCAGAACACTGTCTTCATCCGCATTTGTGGCTTGAGGAGTTGTGTGCACTTGATAAATGACACTCCTGTTAATTTTTTGGAGTGATTGCCTATTTACACTCAGGATCTTTTCTTTCACGAGTGATGACCAAATTGATGTGCCATCATCACCTTCTGCCCAAGTAACTTGTCCTTCACTGCTAGGATCAAGTGCTTTAATCAAGTCAGGTTTGCATTTTAACTTGATTATACCCACCAACCAACAATTTTTCTTCGTGAATAAGTCATCAAGGAAATGTCAGAATCTCTTATACTCTGCCAGCCCAATGTTGAAAACTGGACAGAGTTCAACGGTATCCGAAATAATCACAATTTTCTTTGTTGACATTTTCCCTGAAAAAAGTTAATATACAGCACATTAACATCAATGGTCCACTTATAATATTAATACAGTACATATAACAAAGTAATGAAAGAAAACACAGTAAACATTTTGCAATAAACCTCCACTTCAGTTCCGTTCCGCCAACACCGTTCCATATAAGAATCTGTAACTGCCACCAATGTGTAACGCCGTTCCGTATATGAATCTGTAACTGCCACCATTCTGTAACGGCGCTGGTGGAACGGAACTGAAGTTGGTGGAATACACCGTTCCATACCAGAATCTAACTGACTTCAGTTCAGTTCCAATAACGCCGTTACGCATTGATGGTGGCAGTTACAGATTTGTATACAGAACAGCATTGGCGGAACGGAACTGAAGTGGCAGTTACAGATTCCGCCAAGGGCATCCATTGGCGGAACAGAACTGAAGTCCTGGCAGTTGATCATACATACACATATGAGCAAAAACAGTTCAGAATTTCACTTTTCTTTATGATAAACACTCCGTACTGCACAATATACTTGAAAGCTTACAAAGCCCATTTCACTTCACTAAAAACTAGTTTTGACTATACAGAATACACAAGCAGGCCAATATATGTAAACCCTCGGGCTGTTGTCCTCATCAATATCAAAGCATAATTCAACATCTTGTCCTGAACACTGTCACCGCACTACCACAAAAATCACTATTATCCAAATCATACTTAACATTTAAGAGGAAGCAATCATAGAAGTGGAAGGAGTCCTGGATTTAAGTATACACATTACTTTCCCTGCTTCAATGATTTCTCCACCTCTTTTAACACTCTTTTTACCACCAATTAATGGAGGACCAATTCACTTTCTGATAGGAAATACTCAATAAATATATGAAAACGTTCAGCACTCACGTTCATTGATGAATGTGAGTGCTGAACGTTTTCACGCACATATATGTGTGTGCATATGGTGCCTTGCCAATAAAATGACCGCACTGCTAAGGACGGATCTGCTGAAAGACCATCAAGAACCGAGAAAAAATGTCCCACCCAACAACATGTTGTCCCGCCTTATATAGCAACCATTTCTGGCTAGGTGGACAACCCTGATTTTGACGTAAATTTTTCTTTTCCCAGGAAATGCCCTACTAAGAGGCAAGGCACCACTTTAAAGTCCTGGAATGCGGAAGGTATAATTCACAAACTTCGAAAAATGCATGCGTCATGCTTGGTTTGTCATGCTTTGTTTATACCATGTAATTGTTGAGCTTATAATGATGATTATCCCCAAATACTTTGGCATCCCTTTTTTCACACTTCTGACAAATGTTAAGCTTAACTGCTTTGGAATATTTGAAGGGAGTGAGTGTGTAACAAACTGAATGTATCTGATGTTAATCATGGGTATTTTTATGATGCTCAAGTCATGCAAGTGACATCTACCTACAGATGCACCAATGTAAAACTTGATTCCCAGGAATTAAGTTTTGCACCCGCGGAGTCTGTATAGTGAAGGACTTGTATGCTTATTTGCTCATTAATCATTGAACCTATGTATATATATGATGTATGCACATTAATTCACACCATAATACATGACTTTGACAGAGTCACAAATTTGAATTCATACGAAACATTTGTTAAATGCTCTTGTTTTGATATATGAATAGCATTTAACTTCAAGGGACATGTATGTGGAGATGCGCAAAATGTAACACTTCATTCCAGGGATTATTTCACCATACGGAAACTCCTTCAATATTAAAACAATAACAGTAAGTGAAAATAGCAATAAGTGATTCTTTTTTTCTATAAGGGGGTATACCTTTTTAATTTCAGTCGTAACTGTTCATTTTTACAGTAGGGATTATTACAGGGTTGTGCTGGGGTGTTGCATAAAAAATCTAAACATGTCTTTTTATATATATATTCTTATATATGAAAAATTATAGTGAAATAATTGAAATGACGGAGTTGCTTTTATATAAAAATATACATATATATGTACGCATTACCGTTATGCTATGGTATATTGGAATACGCTATCACGGGTACCAAGAATTATATATAGACAGCGTATCATAACACGTCTTGAATAAAGTACAAGTATATACTTTTTGAATATATAATTATGATGCTCAAAATGGACATTTGCAGCACCTCCATTCTATAAATTATATTTGAGCATCATCATCGTTACGGTCAAAAGTTGACAGTACATCACACAACACGTCATCTGATGCTACCAAATGTACACTTCTGTGATGCATCAGTATAGAATTCTGTGTAACCATCAGGTGACACATCAGTCAATGTGCACCTATTTCCCTCTTCCTTGATGCATCACTCAAAAAGTATCACAAATCATTGGAAGCCCCATCAAGAGAGGGTGTAAGATTCCAAACTTTCGATGCATCATCATTTCATGTTGAGCACCCATGCGCAAACACGTCAACAGATGCATACTCAGTCAAGTTGTGTGACACATACCGTTCCATCAACAAACTCAACCTGTCAGCTGACAGGGTCTCTGACGGTCAGGAATGAAAATTCTTCAATGGGGCACGTATAAATAGGTTCTGATGCATCATTCATCCATTCAACTGGTCAGTCTAATGTCTGAAATACATGAAAAGCGTTGCAGATTTTGAAAAGCATCGCATCAACTCATCACACGGAGCATCAGCTGATGCATTACAGGCATTTCAAAAAATCCAACGCCCAAATTATCCGCTGGGTATGTGCATGTACTGGGATGGAAGAATATTAATATATTATTTATATCAATCTATTGCTTCCTCTGGTCAGTGCTGGAGGGGCTGACATTTATTATTCTGGTTTCTCCTCCTTCCTTTCTTCCTTATATTCTTTCTTCTTTTACTGCGTTGCATCAAGTGGTGGAAGGAAAGGAAGGGAGGAAAGAAACTAGGTTATTATTAACACTTCTTATTTTCCTTGCTTCCTTCTCTTCTCTCACTTTATGTCTTCTCCCATTGGCAGAGCCTGCTAGGGTTTGACATTAAGTTCAGAATTGTTTGGTCAGAAAGTTCTGTACCAAAACATGATAATTTCAGATGATAACAGCCTGAAGGCCAAGCTTTTACTCTTTCTTTCTTACTCTTCAAGGACCATCCTTGCAAGGCTTCCAGGTTTATCCTTGCAG